AACAAAAATTGAATTATTTTTTTATCAGTTGATAATAATTGAATTAACCTTATAAAAAAACATTGAAAAACAATTGAATTAAGTCACAACAACCACTTAATTGTGGAGATTTGGGTAAATAATTGTATATCATAGTTATTTTTCGTACACGTGAAGAAACAATAAGAACAAATGTATGACACATGGTTAGTCTAATATAGTTTACGTCTCTTGTATGGTTTGTAAGCTATTATACGAGAGTATAGGTTTAACCAGTACACCTCTATGGTTTGCTGCAGGTTCCTTCATTAAAAAAAGAAGATAAGAATTTCATTTATAAATTGCCTCATATTTCCACGACCTGAATGACTACTAAATACAGTCTGACCCGTAGCGGGTCCCTTCATCACAAAAATAAATAAAATTAATAAATGAAGAAATTATGATACGTATATTTAACGCATAGAACATTTAGTGTCTCGGGTTAATAATCGGGAATGGTAACTTGCATGATAGATGTTTAATTGGGTGATGAATTATCGCATAGGAGAAAGATAAAATCCTAGGTCTATTTTTATTGATATCTTATCGTGACTATTTGCTTTCATAGTTAATTTAATTCTTTAGTTGATAAAACTTGACAACCTTGTGTAGGCTGGATAAAAATCATAATTGTTAGAATTCGGTACATAGGATTAGGTAATTTGAGTATTCCCTATGGAATCGACATCTGACTCTCACGAGTCCACTTTTGCTACTTGTTAGCTATACGTGCACTTGTGTGTTAGGTAGTTAGCCCAACAATTATAAAATTAAAAAAAAAATTATAGGATGCAGTTTTTATAACACACTACACTAAATGATGGGTTCATGAGATTGTCGCTAAAAAAATGAATAAAAAGGATGGTTGGTAAATGTTAATAGGATTATATTTAAAAACAGTTAAGAGCTATGTTGCACGGATATTTCAGCTTGTTAACGTATCTCTGTTTTGGATACCTTTAAGTCCGACCCTCGAGCACACCTGCCGAATACCTTATGGGTCATTTTATAATTTTCAAAAACTTAGGAACATGTTTGAATAGCTAATTTTTCAAATATTTTTGTTGCTTCCCTAATTATTTACATGATTTAAAGATCAATTGCAAAATGATAGTTGATAATAATATTTATTTTAAATATATTTGTATTAAAATATATAAAAGTAGTTATACATAAATAACAACTAATATATGTTAATAAAATATAATTAACATATTTATAAATATACCCCTATAATTATAATATTCACAAGTTTCCTCTAAGTCCATTTTTTAGATAGGATGTTTCCCCGTGTTCCTTTCCCCCTCTCATTGTATTGTCGTTTTCATGTCCGTACTACATATATTAAGAATGTTATACTTTGAATATTCACAAACCTATAATCACAAATATGAAATATTTCAACATAACATGCCAATATTTATGGCACTCAATGAGCTCTACCAAATAAACAGAATAAAATAGAAACTTTTGCCGCATTTATTGCTTACCAAATATTTCAAGAGTATTTATAGTGAGCGACGCAATTTGGTGTACTAACTTTTTTTCTAGAGCCAATTCGGTATGCTAATTGAATGGTATTAAAATCGACGCGATGCAATTTGGTATATTAACTTTTTTTTATCGAGCCAATTCGGTATACTAATTGAATAATATTAAAAACGACATCTTTTGTATAAATCAAAACCAGATTAAATTGTAATGAGTTTCAATTTAACCGAGAATCTAGAAAATTCTTAGTGGTAAAACCGTTTGAGAATTTGTACCGCTCTATTCAATGCTACACTCGGTGAACTTCATTGGGTGATTTTCCACAATAAATTTGTGAAAATAACCACCCAATAAACACGCACGCATACATACACATGGGTTTTTTTTGTTATATGTAGCTCAATAGTGCAAAATCACTTGTAAATTCATAGAAGAAGAGAACAATATTCTCTTGAAAAAAGAAATTAATGAAATAGTGGAGAATTTAATATAACAAATAAAAAAGTAGAAAATAATATACAAAATGCAATCTGTTTATTATTAATAGTGTAAATTGATTAAAACTTCTCGTAGATTATATATGAAGAGTGGTGCTATTTCCACCTCCAAATTATTTAAAATGTCATAAATACCCATAAAATTTCTAATCTTCCACCCTTCCATGCTTATTTCTTCCTCTTTCCTCAATGTAACTTGTGTTAATGCAACAAGGCAATTTCAAATGGTAAAACAAGATTCTAATAATCGTCTAATCTGAATCAGTGTCTGGGCGGACTGCGCTAAATGAAATGTAACCCATTTTTCAAGTTTTAATCCTCCGAAAACAACAATATCAAAAATCTTGATTTTTTTTTCTTTTTAATTGTTTATATACAAGAAATATTAATTTAATTTATTTCTCCAAGAACGTGATTCTTGCTCCTTCTGAATTTCGTGTATTTTTCTCTGTTCTCCGACGAAGGTGCCGTTCACTTAAGGTGGAGATGATGAGATTTTATGGCGAATATTCAAGTGAAAAATGGTGGAAAACTTTATTGTGAATATTTTAATTAATTTGGTGGTGAACAATTTTTATTTTTTTACAACATATGTGTGAAAGATGAGCAAAAGGGTAAAATAGAGAAAATATATTCAATTTGATGGTGAAATAAGATATGTTGTGGGTGAAAATAGCATTCTCTATATAAAACGATAATCACACAATTTATTAAAACAAAACATTGCATTGGTGTGTATGTGTAACTGGAAGTCTTGTAGTCTATTATTTGTAGAGACTTCACCAAATATTTAAAGCACTTATTCGAATTATTTAAAGCTAGCTATAAGTACATTAAAATCTATGTACTTACTATTATAAACTCATTAATTTAATAAATGACATAGACTGCGCATATTGCTATGAACTAATTAAAAACTAACAAATAGAAAATTAGAACAAAAATTTTGTTGTTTCATTTTATATTTTGAAAATTCACAAAATAATCTTAATTATGCAATAAATTACAACAAAAAATGAATTATTTTTTATCAGTTGATAACAATTGAATTAACCTTATACAAAAGCATTGAAAAACAATTGAATTAAGTCACAACAGCCACTAAATTGTGAAGATTTGGGTAAATAATTGTATATCATAGTTATTTTTTGTACACGTGAAGAAACAATAAGAACAAATTTATGACACATGGTTAGCCTAATATAGTTTACATCTCTTGTATGGTTTGTAAGCTATTATACGAGAGTATAGGTTTAACCAGTGCACCTCTATGGTTGGCTGCATGTTCCTTCATTTTAAAAAGAAGATAAAAATTTCATTTATAAATTGCCTTATAATTCCACGACCTAAATATCTACTAAATACAGTCTGATACGTAGCGGGTCCCTTCATCACAAAAATAAATAAAATTAATAAATGAATAAATTATGATACGTATGTTTAATGCATAGTTGGCCCCATATATCAATTTGTTGGTTATGTCTAAACAATAAAGTCGAATATGTAAATTTAAATCGTGTTATACTTTAGAAAGCCTAGCTAGTTCAATTACTTATGGTAGCTAAATCTTGTCTTTCTATTTTATTTCCCTTACATGATCTATATAAAGTGCTCAAACACAAATTCATAAATTACTATATATTCAAGAAATATTTTAATTATATAATCCAATGGCTTCCAAAAATTATTATTATGGCTTCGAAAGTAAAACAAAAGATTTAGCTTTGGTTGAACCACACGACGAGGAGTGTGTTGCGGAAAGGCAGCGTTGCATGGTCACAAATATTATGTTTGAATTTCAAGAGTATCTCAATGAAAGATCCAACCATTTACTAGGTATATATATTCTTTGAATAATTTAAGTTTATAAATTTACTATTTCTAAAAAAATATTTAAATTTTTTTGTAGGTTATCCCACCAACCTAAATTGCAACCATTTGATGGATCTGTCACCTTTGCTATGTTTCCTCATGAATAACGTGGGTGATCCATTTAAAGAAAGCAATTTCGGTTTGCATTCCAAAAAATTTGAGGTGGCAGTTTTAGATTGGTTCGCCCAGTTATGGGAAATTGAGAAAGGTGAATATTGGGGCTATGTTACTAATGGTGGAACTGAAGGCAATCTCCATGGAATGTTAATTGGGTAATTTATTTATTTTTCTTTATATTATTATACAGGGGTTTCTAACAACTAAATAAATGATAAATCATAGGGGATTTTTTACGAACAAAATTACATATGATTGTCTTTTTTTGCAGAAGAAATTTATTACCAGATGGGATATTGTACACATCAAAAGAATCACACTACTCCATATTCAAAGGATCAAGAATTTACAGAATTGAGTGCCAAATTATAGGCACCTTAATTACTGGGGAGATAGATTGCACTGACTTAAAAGAAAAACTCTTTTTCAACAAGGATAAACCTGCCATCATCAATCTTAATATAGGTGCCATTATATATATATATATATACATATATATATGTGTGTGTGTGTGTGTGTGTGTGTGTGTGTGTGTGTGTGTGTGTGTGTGTGTGTGTTTATTTTAAATTTATACACCTATTTTAGAGAATTGTTTTTGAAAATTCAGGGACAACTTTCAAAGGAGGTGTGGACAACCTTGATCATGTCATAAAAACGTTAGAGGAATGTGGTTTCTCACACGACCGATTTTACATTCATTGCGATGCAGCGTCATATGGCCTCGTCTCTCCTTTTCTTGAAAATGTAGATAAAGTTTGAATTTAATTTCTCTCTCTAGATCTCTCTCTCTTTATATATATATATTTGCATGCAATGCTGACTTTACAAAAATTTTAAAGTTTGTGCTTAAGGGAGCACCACAAAGCCATCAACATTCACCGCGATTTTTCTTTTTTGAATATTTAAGAAAAATTTACATACATATAATTAAAAATTTATGTTGATATTTTTTTATTATGAATCTTTGTTCTCTTGGATGATATATCTTTGTAGGGCCCACTGTTTAGTTTTAAGAAGCCTATTGGGAGCGTTAGTGTCTCGGCACACAAACTATTGGGCTCCTCAATGCCATGTGGCATTCTCATTTCAAGGAAAATGCACATGACCGATTTCTCGACAAACATCGAATACATTGCCACTCTAGACACTACAATATCCGGAAGTCGAAATGGTCACACGCCAATCTTTATATGGTACGGTTTAAACTTGAAAGGTCGCATTGGACTTCAAAAAGAAGTCAACAATTGTTTGACCAACGCTAAGTACTTAAGAGACGGGCTTAATAAAGCGGGAATTAGCGCGATGCTTAATGAGTCGAGCATTGTGGTGGTTTTCGAGCGTCCGTTAGATCGTGAGTTTATTGATTATTGGCAACTTTCGTTTCTAGGAAAAATGGCGCATGTTGTCTTAATGCCTCATGTGACAATGAAAATGTTGGATGATTTTCTAAGTGATCTTGTTCGGAAAAGAGAGATTTGGTATGGATCAGGAGAAGTTCGACCGGTTTGTTTGGCCGAGGAAATTGGGGCTTCTAATTGTGCTTGCTCGATTCATAGAAATCATTAAATTAATGGGATCTATCTACAAATGGAAATTAAAATAAAACTTTGCCAATTTGGTGTATAAGTTTGATATATGGATTAAGAGTGAATAAATGGGTTTGATTGGTGTGTATATTTTTCACTGGCACACACCGAAGCTCACTATAATTTTGACGTAATTGTAATTTGTAAAATAAGATGTTGTGGGAAATAAAAGACCACCTTTCACTATTTATTTTTTAAAAGTCAATATAACCCTTAAATATTTTCTATATTTTAACCTATTTCGACAAATGATCAAGTTTCATTGCTCATAAGCACAATCATTTTCGATCAATACACACACAAACATCGATCTTGGAGAGGTGGGGAAAAACAGAAGAAAAAAAGATTAATTAATCGCTATTATAAATCGATCAACAAGAAGATGCTCTTTTTTTTGTCTCTCTACTTGCCCATTCTTCATTTTTAGAATATTTGGCACGGGCATATAATTTCTCTATTGAGAGATACATTAGCAAAAGCCATGTCTAGAAATTGGTTTAACCCAATTTAATATTTTTTTTGTTCACCATGGTTTATGCATCCAACTCTTATCCATTACGACCAAACTTAAAATATTCGCACTTTTACAACAATTATACATGTGAACTGATACTCATATGAACTTAAATATGCGCTTGAATTAATATAATTTCCATGACATAATAATATATAAAAATAAGGGTTGGAAAGAAAAAAAATAACAAAACATAGGATGTCAATGCATATTTATGAGCACAAAGATTTCTTGACACCTGTAAACAAAATAATATTATATTTGCATTTGCGTAGTTGTAACATAAGAAAAAAATCGAGATGCATATCTCACAATTGATTATGACCAAGTTAGTTGATGCAACGCTCATCAACCAATCCATATAATATGCAATTAACAAAATACATATCTTAAAAGAAAGATATTTATTACAATATCTATATTAAAAATAGTTTATTGAGAATAGACTCTACCCTTAAAAACTACGATTACAGTTTTATGCATACACCTTAATTAGTCAATAAGAGATTCCTAATGAGGAAATACATACACCTTATGTAGGCTACAAATGAGGACAAATACATAGTAATGACAAGTTTGAGAAATTAAGTACAAAATTATGTCAAAAATATTTGTATACTGGCTTTGAAGGAACCAATGATTTAGAGATACAAAACAATCATTCATTCTATATATGTAGTAACACTATGAAACTAAGATACTGATTAAGTTTTGATCTACCTAAAAAATATACGTTTAATCTCCATAGATGCCGCTTCTTATGATACCAGACTCCTCTTATAGAACACATTTTACTCAAGAAGGTTAATATGATGGTCTGTATATATCTTATTAAAAAATAAAATATCATTGCGATAAAAAATGCAAACCTGAACAACCGGAATACTTATTCAACAATCAGTAACTTTCCCACATAGGTATAGCTCAACTGGTTTCGGGGGTGGTAAGTTGGTACGAGGTCCTAGGATCGAGTCCTGGCAGCCGTAGTGTGTGAATTTCAATTCCAACGAGGGTTGGCTCCATGTGGACACCACGTCCGGGTCCGCTATCCTAAAGGGCCGTTGAGTCACCATGATTCACGTTCCTCCACCAAATACTTGTCGGGACAATGGATGGGGGCCCTAGGGGCGAGGTTTTTGCCTTTTCGTACAACAATCAATAACTTCAGAGCGAAGTGTAACCCTACAATTATATAACATAAATGTGTTATTATCACTTCTCTCAAATGAAAAATAGATGTAACAAGAAGAATAATATAAATCAAATACTATAACAAATCCTTGGTAGAATCACGTAATATACAGTTAAGTAGTTTAGGAGCAACATGTAGCGCCCCGCCCCGAGTAGCAGGCACCTCGTGGCGGAACACCACTCAACATGCAGTACATTCAATGACCCCAAATATGCTCCTCAAAATTTCGATGATCAAAATATTAAACCCCCAATATCTATACCATCGTGTTTACAAAAGGAGGTTCTATTACAAGTCGACTTTGACACCACTTATTCTACTACAAAATTCTCGATCAACGGATTCCTATACGGAACATAAATAGAGATACCTCTCGACGAGACTAATCGGAGGCATACACGAGCTTTAACTCTTAGTATGAAAATTTAGGTATAAATCTTTCTTTTACCTGCGCTTAATATCAGAAAGGAGAAACGAATAAGTCCGAATGACTTAGTGAAAAACATATGATCCATGAGTATGATGAGAATCAACAGAACAGATCATATAACGAGAGACTTTACAAGAATTTCATTAACAGAAGTGTAACATGTACAAGAGTGTAACACGTACGGCTTGAATTCAATATTTGGTGGGGTCTCCAACCTTGTAACTCCCAACAAATAAAATCATATGACATCCTTATACCTCCACTCCGTCCCGAGTGGCCACTCGGTCGGAAACAAGCAAGAGGCACGACCGGAACGTGCCGATCCGGCTCAGGAACGTTTAACTCCAAACGAACGTGAGTCCGAACCATCAGGAGGTACCATTCGGGAGACCAGTCATCGTCAGCCCAATACTGCCCGATCGTCTTGCCGAAATGGTCCTAGGGCCCAGCTCCCCCAAGCTTGAGGACAATAGGTTCAAGAATCAATATCATTCATTTTAGGAATATCAAGTCATTCATTTCAAGAATCAATTCAAGAATGAAGTCAATCATTCACAAGATAAGTCACGATCATGATAATTGAATATCAAGTCTCAGGATAATGAACATGTTCAGATTTCAATTCGAGCCAATGAAGAATTGTCGTGAATATGGAATTCAAGAAGAACAATAAATTCCATGTCAGGTTCCAAGAACGAGTATATCAAGATCTCAATAAATTCAATAAACATGAGATTCAAGTTCGAGCCAACAAAATATTTATTCTCGAAAAGCATTCAAGACAAGATTTTGAGAATAAATATAGTTCAATATCGATTCAAGGAAAATGTTCAGGCCAATGAATCAAGTATAGGAATTAGCCGTGAACATAGCAACCAAGAGAATTGAAAAGTTCAAGATTTCAAGGACAAGATCATGGTTCCAAGTTCGAGCCAAGGAAACGAATATGCTCGCAGAACATTAAGGATCATATTCCAAGAAAAATATAATCAATGCATCAAAGGATTCAAGATTGAGAATATATTTGGTTCAAACAAAGGAGATATTAAGCGCAGGATAAGGAGTCATAGTTTCTCACCTGGAGTCCAACGCTAGTGCTATAGAAGCACCTTTAAGCTTAAACCTTGAGTGAGAGCTTTCCTGTGCTCAACACCTATGCAAATATTAGAACTAAATAAGATTCCAAACAGTAATATAGCCATATTACCATCCACTATATGACATAGTCAATTTCTTAAAACATATACTAAGAATTGCTTCTCGCGGCACTTTATTCAAATAATCACTGCGATCATCGTACTTATCCGAATGACCTAAACAATATATAAAGTTAAAGATAACATCTGTATCTACAATTTTACTAGAGACTTTAATCCCAAATTAACAACATAACCCGTCAATAACAACCCCGAAAGATGAACACATAAACCTGCCAGATTTTCGGATAATTTCGTTTGCTGTCACAGCCCGTAAAATCATAACAAATTGTACGGTTATCCAAATTGTCCAAATAATACATAAAATGAAAACTGGAAGTTTAATCTACAAGTTTCATGAAGGCACATAGCCGAAATTATGATCCCAACATATCGAAAACAGTCCCGCAAGAAGATACTCAAAACTGCCCTGTTTCCGGCAGATTACTGTCATCGGATTCCGACCTCTAAAACACGTATATTAAATATTCTAATTCGATACAATTGAACACTTACTTATAGTTTACGATCTCCTCTACGAGTTTTGTGAAGGAATTATTCCCAAATTCTGACTCCAAATCCTTCGATTTTGGCTCTGAAAACAGGTGCGGCAGCAGATTTCATTATAGGTCCAGCGAGCAGGCTGAACTTCTCGCCCAATTCCGGCAACCACCGCCGATTAATACTACCGAGCTCCAACACCAATGGAAAGCTAACATCTCGAGGTTTCTAACCGTGTGTCCTGATCGTCAATATTCAACCTTTAAGGCCTCCGAGCAATTAATTCTTCAAAGGACCAAAAGCTGAAATTCAGATTTTGGACAGCTTATCTTCTTCACCCGATTCCGGCGACCATCTGATGCGACCACCACCGTAGGCGACCTGATCGTTGTAGCCCCTTGCTAAAGCTTTCTTCACGCAACCCTAATTCTGCCAATAATGTGAATTGGAGATTTCCCGATTAAAACCTCAAATTCCTTTCCTATACCCCGCTCGACCAAACCTCGTTCCTAAATTCGACTTTTTCTTCGATTAACTTCCATGATTTCAGCCAAGGATCAAGAGAGAGAGGGGAAGAGAGAGCGGGCGAGAGAGAAAGAGAGAGATGATGAGAGAGAGACGGTGAGGTAGAGAGACGGTGAGGGAGAGAGAAGAGTTGGGGAGAAAAGACGTCAATTCCTATCTCAACTATAAATTCTGAAAATTGGCTATAAGGCCAAATTGTTTTCTTAATTACCAAATAGATGCCATAACTTTAGATAATTACAATTTCTACACTTCCCATCAAATTCAAAATATATTATAATCTCATATCGACTCATATTAACTAATTAAATTCAATTATCGCCAGACTTAAACAACTTACATATTTACGGGGTGTTATACAACAGAACATTAAAATTATCAACATGGTACTTTTTACATATAGAAAATTTTATCATAGTGTAATACACACTAGAAAAATAAATATTCATATAGGGAAGAGAGATGTAAGGTGGACACATAGATAATATCAAGTGTTTATATATTCTTATATACCTATATAATGCTTTGTCCAAAAATCACGCCAACAAAAAATTAAAAAGGAAAAGGAAACCACATCAGAAAAGCCATTCTTCTTCAATTGTCAAGGAGAACAAATAATTTATTTACAAAACTTTCATGAGAAACTAGTATTTTCTTCTACAATTCCACTACCCTTTTTTTGAACAATCACAAGGGTTGGCAAGAGAATTAATTGCTAGCATATTCTTATTTCTATTCTCAATTTATGCATATTCATACATAGTGACTTATACAAACTACAAAATCGCGATTTAGGGCTTTGAATTTAATTATTGGGATTAGAAAATCACAAGGATGGAATTCAATGTCAATTAACGTAAATAAAAATCGGTCAGGCTACATTACTTCGGAACTCGATGCTGAATCTTCTCTTTCTCGTTGTTGATGGAGAAAAAAAAGATGAAGACCTTCTCGTCGTTCATGAAAGGAAGAAGTGCAAAAGGGTTTGATGTGCAGAAAAAACATGTTTGGGAAGAGAATTGGGCAAAAACAAAATTAAACCGCCAAGTAAAACTTTGGCGCTTCATTATTAGTGTCTTCGTGTACAATTTTTAATCTGAAACATTTAATGCATGCGGAAATTCAATTGTTGCAGGTGGAAATATTCTTTTTTTTTTTGCCCCAAAAAAATTAGACTTTAATGTTTTTGTCCCGACTCTCTCCCTTGGAACCGAAACTTCAAACCTCTCTCATCTCCAAATTTTCTATTTTGACAAGTAATCGACAGGTTTGTTCCGATAAAGTTGGGAGGAAATGAAAGATTATCTACATGGATGTAAAGTTA